ATATATATATATATATATATATATATATATATATATATATATATATATATATATATATATATATATAGATATATAAATAGATAATATTAGTGGAAAATATACATACATATGCAATATATATATATAAAAATGCAATATATATATATATATATATATACATATTTTTTACATATATATATATATATATATAAAAGATTTTTCATTTAATTTTTGTTCATTAGCCTGAGATTTTCATAAGATGCAGTTGTCTTTAAGGAATAACAAAAAAAAGAAATTCCTGCAAATAAAAGACAAGAACGAATAAAAGAAATCCCTCGCCAAATTAAGTTTTAAAAAATGGTTCAGATTTTAATCAGAGCGTGTACTACAAAGACAAATAAAAGATAAAACGTTATAGAAATAACGTGGGAGGGGAATGTACCTTCCATTTTGTTTACATCAGTCCCCTTTTCTCTAATGGCAGAGACCAAACAACTTCACAGCGGAAATGACGTCAAGCGTCACAGCATCAACACACCGGATATTACGTCAGCGTTATATTTTTCTTTTTCTTCTTTTGTTTTTGTCTTATTCTTTTAGTTTCCTTTTTAGTTTATTCTGGTAACGTTGCTTTCGTAAGAGTATGCGTCGGGTAACAGAAAAGGAACGAAAAATAAATAAATATAAAGAAATAATAGTTAAATTTAAAGAGGTATGAAAATAAAATTTGAAAAAAAGCATTCAAATATTCACAAATCCAAGCAAAAGCGAAACCCATATTAAAATCAACAAAGGAAAAAAAAAATAAAATAAAATAAAAGAAAGCTATTTTGCGTATTGGCATGTCAAATTCAAGATAGAAAGATCTATTTTTTAAGATATATTTTCTACCATTTTTACTATTTTCAAATTCCGCTATATATATATATATATATATATATATATATATATATATATATATATATATATATATATATATTCTTTTTTGAAGAGGAACTGCCAGGTTTTATTTCTTATTAGTTTATACCACACTCATGCTGTGTTGTTATTGTATTCTAGCATTTTAGGTTTATTTTTAAAGATTATTAACTTATTTTTACGGAATTGCTCAAATGATTCCGACAGAATATATATATATATATATATATATATATATATATATATATATATATATATATATATATATATATTATTGATGCATGTTTCATTAAATAATATAGACAAGTGCACAATGATCTATTTATTTTATGTAAATTCATTTCATATCGTCTCATCTGTCTTATAACGTCTGATTCGTGTCATTAACATTATCTTTAAACGAAGAAAGAAAATCACAATATTGATACATGTTTTTTTTAATCCTATCTAAGCTTTCTTAAAGGCTTTTTAGGGTTTTATTATAAACCATTATCAAAGATGACAATTACATTACAATATATTAAGCAATACACGGACAAATCAGTGATGATAGTCGTTTCTGTTTACATCGAAGATTTCAAGCAACGACAAATTCGTATCTAAACGCTGAAACGAAAATCAGACAAAGCTGGAAACGAAATATATATATATATATATATAAATATATATATATATATATATATATATATATTTATATATATATATATATATATATATATATATATATATATATATATATATATATATATATATATATATATATATATATATATATATATATATATATATATATATATATATATATATAAATATATAAATATAAGAAATTATACTCGTCCGAAAACCTTCGGTGTCTTGATTTGCAAATAATCAAACCAATATCAAGGGGAAAAAGTATAAAAAAATAGAACAAAGAACATGTACGTTAGCCGAAAATAATCGTCTCTGCATGCAAGTCCAGAGTCCAAAGAAAAAACCCGATACGAGTAAGCAAAATAATAAATAAAGTGCTCAATACGATAAGTAAAGCAAACCTAATTAAATTTAAAGAGCCAGGCGAACCTACAGAGGTTTCACCTACACGGATCGTCAAGGAAGGCTGGCTAATTATATATATATATATATATATATATATATATATATATAAAAAAGAAATCAAAATTATACATATACAGGTAATAATCCAATGTATTATCACACACATATATATATATATATATATATATATATAATTGTATGAATTATATATATATAAAGTCACTATACAATTACTTAAAATAGAAATTAAGACATAACAAGTAATCAACAATCCAGAAAGTTTTTATTAGAATGGTACTGGTTAATAACAACAAAAGGCCATGGTAAACAAGCGTAAATTAATTATCGATACTGTTTGAAATGCAAGCCACCTGCTTCAATACTTTGCTTTTTATTATAAGTAACTCTATAATCACTTTATTGCCGATATATATATATATATATATATATATATATATATATATATATATATATATATATATATATATATATATATATATAAACAAACAATACGTCAAAACAACCCTTATTCCCCATAGCTAAACACTACAATCAATCAGGACAC